CAACATCAGATCAACGAAAAAGTTCGATTATTAGTTCTTCTGAAGAAAAAATTATAACGAAAAAAAGTAGAAAACGAAAAGAATCCAAAATAAATTATAAACCAAAAATTATTATTCCTGAAAAACATTTTATAAGAAATTCTTTAAGAGAAAATGAAAAACTTGAATTTAAATTAAAATTTGCTGAACAACATCAAAAAAACGAATATGAATTTCAAAAATTCTGTAAAGATTATGAACATTCAATGTATTTACTATCGAAACAAAACATTCATCACTATCCAACAGTTATATTTGGTCCATGTCCATTTTCAAACATAAAAACTAAACCACGTAAAACAATACAAACACATAATAAAATTGAACTTCCATTAAAATTTCCTTGGAATGGAGTTTCCGATACAACAATTCCATCAGTAATAAGAAAAGATCCATCAATATTCTTCTTCTTCGAAGTACCATCGTCGGAAAAAAACTAAATATAATAATTTCATTTTTACATTCTTTTTATTATCAAATAAAAGAAATATCAGCATTAAAACTAAGATTTATCAAGTAATATGTAATACATACGGTACGCCAAAAGTTTTTTCATCCGACTCTTCTAAATGCTGTCATTTCGTTGTAACTATTTTAATAGAACGCTTAGATATATTTAGGATTATTTGCAAAATGTTAGACTTAGAAGTCTTGATCTTCGTTTTATTTTTGCATTTCTTTTAAACCAATGATACGACATTTCCCACATACGTTTGGGATTCTCACGAGAAAACTTTTAAAATACATTTTTAAATGACTAGTAAATTGATTTAATTTACAAGGAAAAATAGATTACTTCTTACCATTGAAGATGTAATCCATTCAGATGGTTCTCCAACTAATATAATCGAAGAAATTTTTAATACTGTTCCAGCAATAATTGAACATACGAATGAATAGAGGACAGGTTGAGCATCATGTCGTCAATAGTTATTTCAAGTATATTTTTTTGTTTAAAGTTTTGTGCTCGATAAGTGGCATTGTTAACTCATTCATGATTGAAAGCAGTTTCATATTTGATTGAATCACCTTTGACTGAATAGATTTCGAAGAACTAATTTCTATCTTGTATTCCACATTATCACTAGTGATAGATTATATGTGTATCATAATGATTAAAATATAATAGAGTAGTCAAAAATTAGAGCGTTACAAACTAATTCATAAACAATCAAAGCTCATCGAAATAAGAGCTCAGACAAATGAGATATGCCAATTTTTTTTCACGAAATCTAGGTTTATCAAGCGCATATCATTTTGATCTAGTAAACGAAAATTAGCTTGTCAATAGTTCCCCCTATCGTAAGTTCTCAAACTATATCAGTAGATAAATAGAAGACCGGTCTGGATTTTTTATGATGGGTATCGGTCGTGAAATCCATACCGACACTGCACTGACGAGTTGTCATACTATATTCCATAATGTAAATAGTGATGTTTGACATAGTCAATTTTCAACAAAGTTTCATTATACATTCTCTATGAGATACCAAGAGCAAAAAAATTAATAAGACACACGGATGATGATCGATCTACCGGTAGATCGGTTGGAATCTAAAATTTGAATCGGTACCGATTCCATCTTTGGTTTTAATCTTTATCATGAAAATACAACCGTCAAATAGTTGTCTAAAAGACTGGTGAAAAAAGAACTTTTTGAGTTCTCCTTGTAGTTATGATGTACAAAAATTCAATAAATTAAATTTTTTTTTATTTTTGTAATTAAATTATAATGTAAAAAAATCTAGTAAAAATGAAAAATGAAAAATAAAAAAAAAAGACAAATGTTTTTTTTTATTTATCCACTAGTCGATAAATATAGACAATGCCTTCATTATAAGCAGGTACAAACATTTCTGGATGTCCATCACTATCAACATCTTCAACACTAACTTGACCAATTGTTGATTTTTCCGATTGATGAATTATTTTCATTGAATATTCCCAATTTGATGGATCATTATCATGAATTGCTTCTAGTAAATATACACAACCATCATCATCACCAGATAATATTAAAATAGGTTTTTTTCGTACAGTAAATGAATAGTATTGAATTGCTATGGCTTGTCCTGGTGCTCCTTGACCTTTAACTTGAACACGTGGTTTAAATCCACTAGCAAGAATATGTTTTGTAAAATTTCCTCTACGTATATCACCTGATGATGGAAGTTCATAAGCAATTAATGAACCATTAAATTCATCATTGACAGTAACAAGCAGATCAGGTCTATTATCACCATTAAGATCTAGAGTTAATTGTATACATTCATATGGATGTGGTTCATAGTCAATATGACGTACATGTAATTTAGTACTGTCATTCCACAATGGATCTAAATCAGACCAGAACATTTGAAGTTTACGTTCAAAAAATGAGTTAGCAAAAAGAACCTAAAATAATGGAATTAAATATAATGAATTTTAAACCTTTATCAACATTCATAGATCATATACTTGTAATGAATCAACTACAGCAAATTGTACTTGAATATCTGGTCCACCTTTAGTTAATAAATAATTAAGATTCCAAGGACCAGTTATTGTTTGATTTCCTGGATTTTTCAGCCAAACTAATTGAGTTGTTGGTCTACCAACAAGTGGAACATTTGCACGTCCAGTTACGATATCAATATGACCATCCCCATCCATATCTTTGAATTCAGCATCATGATAAAACCAATTTTTTTTATCATCTGGTACTAATGGTATTATATTTGTATCCGAAATAAAATATAGATTTCCATTAGTTTTACCAGGAACAAGAAAACCACTTGGAACAATCATTGAATATTCAACTAATCGATCTGCTGCTACAATGCCATTAGGCCATATTATTTGATCAGTTACAAGTGTTGGTGTAATTCGTGTTGTTAATTGTTGTCCTATATTAGGTACACTATAAACATAATCGGTAGTTTTTGGAACTGCATTAAAACAAGAGATAACTAAAGCCCATGATGTTGAATTCAATGTCCATGTACGAAGAAGTGTTGAAAAACCAGCATGAGTTAATTCGAATTTATTTAAAAGAACTGGTGTGATCTCACTTTTTGTCAATAAAGGACAAGCAAAAATATTCACAACGAGAATAAACTGGTAAAACTGCATCGTATAAGAAATGATAAAATAACCAAATGTAAATGTCTTATCTGTATCATATATATTTTATTATCATGATGATGTGTATTGTAAAAGAAAACAATCCTCTACCGTATCTTTCACCATTATGTAATATATATGCTTTTACATGTCACATTATATCCAGCAATACTGTGTAACTAATCGTATGATTATTTTAAAATTACCGACATTGAATTAAGGGTCCCCCCCCCTTAGAAAATCGAATTTTTCAAGGGAATATCGAAGTTGAGTTTTTATCACAGGAAGATGCGGCGAAGCTTCCTCTTTCAGAACATATATAGCTTTTTGGAAAATGACCGGATTTTCAAAGACTTATCATATAAAACTTTGCCTCTACTACCATATTTTCGGAGAAATTTTCAGGTGTTTCAGTTTTGAAAAAACTGCGTTGTCACTTGCATTAGCATTGAGTAGAACACTTTTATATTACCCAACATGTCAGATGGCGTTAGTTACCTTCATCTCTTACGTAGTCTAAAACGATCCACGGGAATGAATTAATAATATACCATTGTAATATGATTTTTTCTGGATTTGAATGAAAAAATCCAGTTCTAAAATTTCTTTAGCGTTTTTCTCAAAATACGGTTTCCAGACAGAAAAATTGAAATAACTCCATCCTGTCTCAATCTATAACCAATAATTTTTTTTTGTTTTAAAGGTCTTGATTAGAGCTAACTTTTCATCGGACGGATTTTTAATATTGAACCCCAGGGCTGAGAAAAGTGGAATTTACTGTCGTCGAATCACACTTTTTTATGCTTATTTTGCAGACATGCCCACAAAATCGCTCGTAAAAAATGAATGGAAGGGACTTTCAAAATTCCGTCCGATGAAAAGTTGCGTACAGAGGCTAGCTACAATTTGAAATCTACCCGAGCTCTGTATCCCTTCTCTGGACGGAGTTATTTCGATTCTTCTGAAAGGTAGGAAAACCAATCAAAACTGCGATTTAGTCGGACATGTGAAGCTGAAATTTTTATCATAAGCGTTTCTCACTAAGACCAATCATCCCTGAAAATTTCAGCCCAAACGAAGGGTTCCAAGTGGGACTTCATTTCTAAGGGGGGCCCCCCTTAACTTGTTATTTATTTTCAATTAAATTAAGATTTTTGTCTGATACAAATAGAAAACTTTTAACATAGCTTAATCGAATATTTTTGTAAATTAGATTTAGAACATGACTTATTACTAATTTAAAAATAGATTGATTTACTACTTTTTTTGTTGTTTTAAGCTAATTACCTCAGATATGATTCTCGGTAAGTCATTTCATGAAAACATATATATTTTAATAAAATATACTGATTAATATTATTCTATGTGATACAAATTTCAACTAAACATATTGGTATCCAATATGCTACGAGGTATTTTTGTAATTTTCTAATTTTTTGTAAATAGAAGCGTAATTTTATTTTGAATTGCTAGTTTCATAGTGAATTCAATGACATCACTATGGAACTACTCTCAATAATTCACCTTACTATGTAACGCTATGACAGGTCAATGTATCGTCCGTCAGATTATACCTTCTTTTGCATTGTCCGTTTCTATAGCGAATTCTTATTTCATGAACACTATATAAATTTCGAATTCTATTCTCACATTCATAAATTGAAAATATTAGTAGTATACTTTTTTCTTCGTATTGTAAAACGTATTATCCAAAATGGATGAACATATTTCATGGCTTGAAGAATGTACGCATAAAAATCGCTAAAGATACTATTTTGTTTTCTTCTAAACGATAATGTTGATATTTATTTTAGTTATTCAAGAAGCATCTGTTATTCTCAAAGAGTTTACAAATGAACAACTAGATATAATTCAACAAAGTTAGAATGATCAAGAAATAATTTTTGTTCTATAGTTCTGTTTTATTTTCAGTATTTCAACAAAATCAATATATTGATAATGATATAAACATACTTCTTGCTAATCAATTTAATACTGAACCAATATGTATTCTTGTAATAGTTTCATTTTTTTCATAGTTTATATTTCTAAATCTATTCTATTTGAATTTTTCTTAACAATTAGCTATGCTTTGATTATTATCGTTTAATAGTTCATGTTGATAATCGTCGACGTCGTCATTTCGCACATGTTGCTGCTTGACAGAAAAATAATTAATGAATTATTTAAAACATTTGTCGTCTCGCTGTTTTGTTTTTTTCCCAACTGAATAAAAAATAAATAGGAATATTTCTATAGGCATGATTTCATTTAGTTTTGTCTCATTGTTGTCGATTGAGAATCAATTGAATTTGTATGAACAGGTGATGGAGTAGTAGATAGTATTGTTGGTTGTCGTTTGATAATTTCCGTTTTAAATAACTTAAGAGCTTTTTCTTGAAAATCAGGATTACTACGAAAACTTTTCATGCATAAATGAAGAAACGTGCTGATATAATGTGCATCTTACAACATCTACACATCTTGAAACTCTCACCCTCAAGAAAAATTTCGGTTCCATTCTCTTTTATTTCAGGGTTCCGGTTAAGAGAAACAGTAAAATCCGGTTCTCGGTTCCATTTTTTTTGGAACCGCAGGGCTCTATCTGATGCACTCTTGAAAGCGTAAACTACCTTGCGTTCACTAGATGAAATGCATTCGTCTTTAAAAAGTTTTACCCATAATACTCAATAAAATTCGTCAAAATATCCGAAATCACATGATTCGATGCAGTTTGGCTCGCTCTTTCAAATGGCGAAAACCGCAGCTCTCTACCTCATTCCTATGAAAAGTTATTCGAAAAATGGCTAAGGCTCTTTTTTTTTTGGAAAAAACATTAATTTTTATCATTTGATTTTATTATAATGCTTCACATTCACACAATATTCGATAGTGTTTGAAATAAACAGATGTAGAAAGATTTTATCAATAAGAAATAGACAACTAACAATGATGAAACAATCTATTATTTTATATTTTCCAATTAAAAAAAAAAATGTCAATGTTGATCTCTTTGATGATTAATTATCAGTTGATTATCTATTATTTGGTGAAAGATATATATATAGACAACTTTGTATCTCGATTAGATGTTATTTATTGTTACACTTATTCGTTAACAAGATTTAACGCATGACTAAATGTTCATATTCAGGTCATCAACTTCTTAAATAAACTAAGGAAATGAAGTCAATTATTATCATACGATGCGAGAAAATTTTTTCTATTAACAACTGACTGATTTCTTAAAAGGAGAAAAAAAAATGGGTACTGAGGCTATTCGGTCGAGTATAGAGAAGAAAGAAGAAGAAAAAAAAACAGAAAGAATGAAACCATTTGTCTTGTCGATTGAAGTTGAGTTATATGCCGTGCAATTAACAAACATTTTCTCTTTCACTTCACACTCTCATATTCATTTATTCATTGATACAATGTTGTTCACTGTATTCTTCTTATATGTCTGTTGTTCATTAAGTAAAGCCTATGATTTTTTTCCATCAACAATTAATCGTTGTCAAACAATTCCATCAAATTTTACATTATGTTATGGACTTGGTTATACACAAATGTATTTACCAAATTTACTTAATCATGAAAGTATAACTGAAATATTATATGAATTACCATTATGGCAATCACTTCTTAATTTGGGATGTCATTCAAATGCTCGATTATTACTTTGTTCAATTTTAGCACCTGTTTGTCTTCAACAAACACCTGAACGACCAACACTTGTTTCATTTGATAATAATCAAGATTCAATATTTTCAATGACATATGAAAATAAAAAATTTTTATATCCATGTCGTACACTTTGTGAATCAGTTAAACAAAGTTGTGAACCAAGAATGATAAATCAATTTGGTTATAAATGGCCAAATATGAGTAAAAATTTTAATATAGAATAAAAAAAAAACAAAAAAACAATGATCTAATTATATTTTAGTTGCTTGTGAACAATATCCAGAAGAAACAGATCTATGTGTTTCTCATTCATCATCATCAACAACAACAACTACTACATTATCACCACCACCAACAACAACAACTATTACAAAAATGAATTTATGTTCAATGTGTCAATCACGAACAAGTGTAAGTGATTTACTTAATGATTATTGTCGTTCATCAATTGTTGTTCGTACACGTCCAATTAAAAATTCATTAATATCAGAAAATAATTTTATATTTGCAAATAAATATAAAGTTCGATATTTTAAAAAATTAGATAATCAACAAATAAAATTTGATTTTCCAATTAAAAATTGTTCATGTATTAAATTACATTCACCAATTATTTTATTTCTTTCATCAAATGGTGAAATTATTCGATTTATATCAATTAAACAAAATCCACGTGTTTTTAAAAGATTTCGAAATACAATTGTCTTACGAAAACCTCGTTGTCAACGTCGATTATAAATGTCATTTAACTTTCTTTCTTTTCTTTTTTTTCTTCTATGTGACATTTAGGTAATAGATATCATTGTAAACGTCATCAGTTTTTTGTTTAATAAATTTCATATTCAGAATTCAAATAATACGTAAATATTGAATTTTACGTATCCATTGATACTTGATTAACCATATTCATTAAGAAAAAAAAAAAGACAAATAAAGAATTATAAAATCTCATTATTAAATAAATCTAGCGAATGATTGACGTTATATTGCGTTTGCTTGCATTTCTAAGTACATGAAGCATTAAATTTGATTGCTTTCAGTTAGCTATTTGATTATAACCAAGGAGAAAAATTCGATTTATATTATGACGTTTAGCTGTGATAGGTCTACGATCAGAATTTATCGTTATATCGTTTTACAAGATTATTCGTTCAAAGAAACATTTCGTTTTATTAATGATAATGAATAACATAGAAAACAAATCTCATGACCTTAGATCCTTCATTCAATAGTTCAATGCTGCCTCTATCACCAATAAAAATTTCAGATCAAACAGTTTTAGTTTGCCTGATTTATGAAGTAATCTTGGGGTAATCTCCACATGATAGTTGATGAGAATCATCGAAGAGTGACCTGTACCTCCGACTGATTTTAATCATTCGTCTTGAAATTTTCTCTGCTGAGGGCTATCAATCTCGGGTTGCTGCCTGTGATCATGGTTTACCGAGCTCTATTTGTAATGAAAATATCAGATAGAAGAATTGAAGTTTATGTCTTTTTTACTCAGTAGCAGGACTTCTTGCGATTACATTAAAGTAACATTGTCTAATCCTAATTAGAGATCTGCAAAATCATTTTAGTTTTAGTCCTTGTCTTGATTAAAGTTTTTTGCTAATCTTGGTGTTGGTTAAATTTTTTGTATTGATCCTGATATTGATAGCATAGGCCCAATTTTCTATCTGAAAACAAGGAACATTTTTTATAAATTGCAGTCTTCTTCAAATACATATAGAATTAAATGAATGATTTTGACTGTAGTAGTACGAACATTTCTTTATATGCATGTATTAGAATTAGGGATATACAAAAACAGGATTTCTTTGTCCCTATCAGAATTTCTTCCACGTTCCGATCGTGCGACTCAAAAAATTCTCTAAGAACTCTTAGTTTTTGAATGGATATTAAATCCATATGCATGATCTTGAATCGATATATTACTTCAAGAGTAAATTTGAATGTATTAAAATTCAGAGTTTGCAAGACTGGAGATGGTATGTTTAAAAGCAGCTCTGGAGCGATTTAAGAGTACAATTTTTTAATTTATTCTTCTATTTTAAACAAGTATTTAAGTTTTTTTTTTCGAATACCAACAAGTTCAACAATAACAGTATTGAGCCCATAGATGACATACCAAAACAATGACAAAAATATGTATTAATAAAGCAAAACTCTGATCTTTGGCAACTAAGTCGTAATCTTACAGAAAAAATAGCTAATTCCCAGATCTTTAATCAGAATAGAATGATAATTATAAAAGTTTACAATCTAATTCTTGATAAAGGAATTTTATCAGAGCTAACTTGGAAAAAAATATAGATCCTGGTTCGGCCAAGACTATCTGACAGATCCCTATCTCTAATACGATATGAGGACTTCTGTGGCGATATGAATTTCTTCGAAACGACTTCATTTATAATAATGAATTCGATTTCAACATAATATTGTAATCAAAGTTGAGTAAATGTAGTTCTGATGAAGTGCTTGAATGATGATTCGACGTTCAAACTTTGAGGAAAGCTGCAAAAAAACTTTTTGTCTGAGGTAATTTATATTTAAAATAATTTTAGAATCTCTACTTGTTTATTCTGTGTCTTGTTTTTTTTTGCATACATAATACAGCTCCAATAACGTCATTGGTCTTAACAACATGAATATATCACTTTTCTTAATTTATGTAAGAAAATTTTTATAATTCTATTTATTTATTTTATATAATACTAAGAATCAATTGAATAAATTAATGTCAATTTTTTTTAATATTTCTACACTTGTCGTTTCATTGTAACATTATTCTGTGAGCCCAATCAAGTGTCGCGAAATCAATTGTATAAAGGACAAAAGGACCATCTCATGATTTCGCTAGTGGTCTCAGTGCACTAGCATAATGATTACTGAATTCTTTCTAGGAGTATAACCAGACCTATCGCGAAGTATTCAGAATTTGGAATGAAATTAGTAACTCAATCACATGGACTTCAAATAGCCAAGAATTTGCTCACATAGTACTTCAAATAGTTCTTCTATTATTCATGGTACAGTAGATCGTTTAAAAAATTACCAAACGATTTCATCAGATAACTTGATATTATGCTAAGGGATATCACACAAAAAACAAAATATTCGGATTTTAAGGGTCAAGCAAGGTTCCAAGATAAATCCATATTGCTTTTTAACAGAATTAGTATAATATTTTTTGAGTATTTTTATTGTCGATTTAGAAACATTTTAAAACATATAATAAGAATTTAATTTTACCATTTAGTCTTTTGAGAAAGATTGTTGTCATCTTATGAAATTCAAAAAAAGATTTCTCAATATTTTTGACAATGAAAATATTTACATTGGTAGTTATTAATCAAAGTAATGCTTTTCAAAAAATACAACTCATGCGAAATTTCCAGTCTGACGTAAGACTTATTAAGTTTTTGAACATTGATTATGCTAATACAATTGATGGTGTTCATCGAAGCGGAATTGTTTTCTTCGTCGATAAGATTGCTGCTTCTATGTTGATTCTGTACAAAAACAAATTCATTATGAAATACAAATTGTTTTATTTGTTAAGGTTGTTTTTTTTTGTTGTCACAGGTAGTCATGTGAATGACGTTTGTTGACAAAAACAAAGCCCTTCAAACATAAAGTAATATTAAAACATTACTTAAACTACAGACTAGAAATTTTTTTTTCGGTCAGTTATGATTGTATGGTTGGTATTTTTTTCTTTAGCAAATTCAAAAAAATTTCATTTTACTTCGTAATTTGATTTAATTTCGGTACTTTTAGAAAGACAAAAATTTTGACAAATTGCTACTGCATGGTTTTTTTTCTTCATCTTTCGACCGATAAAAAACAAAATGATTGCTAATTATGACAAGACGTCATACCATTCGATTTTTTACGATCAAATCAATCATACAAATGATTTTACGTTTTTCAGTAAACATCTTTTAGTTCTTCTTGAGAAATAGAAAATAAAAAAAAGTGCACTCAACTTCTGCATTCTAACGGCTTGCATGTTTACCTACTCCATCATGTAATTTTTCTGTTCTGTTTTTTTTATTTTTTGACAACAAAGTAATATTACTACGGTTATATTTCTTTACTTGTTTCATCATTGTATAACGAAGGGAAGAAAATCATGAGTCATAAAAAAACAAATTTCATGAAAAGAACCCGACATGTAAGAAATACTTTTTTCTTTTTATCGATCACAAAACATATTTTCATCGCAATTTTTCTTGTTTTTTTATTTTCAATTGATTGTGTACTCTCAATTATGTCTGATGAACACAATTAATTATTTATTCTACTCATTGTTTTATTAATTACAATAGAATTACCAAAGTATTTCTTGCAAGTTCGATAAAATAGTGAGTGCAACGAAATATTTAAAATTTATTTGACTGACAACAATTCAGAAATCAGAATATTAACAATACTATGGGATGTCAACGTAAGAATTCATATTACATTTTACTAATTATGATTTATTAAATTTAGTTATTGATATCCATCATTAAATAATGTTCTTTATTATTTTAGAATCTCAAGTTGCACCGACAATTCATCCTTTGTTTCACTCTAGAGAAGGTAATTTATCAACACGATTTTTTTTATTTTACAAAACACATTGTTTCATAACAAAAATGTTAATTTCAATTTTCTGATAGAATTTTCACTGTTCTAAATAAATTTTAAGAAATATTAAAATATCAGATCGAGAGTTGGACAGTTACTCACAAGTATGAATGATAAATTGAGTATTCTCTTCATTTACACTCACATACACGTGAGCAACTGTCTTAGATCCATCAGATCAATAGAATTTTTTCTACTTATGATAAAAATATGTTTTCTAATTTTACAGAATATGAATAATAATTTAATATTTAGATTCAGATATATATTGGTTGAATCTTGCCTTCCATGACAAAAGTCAACAAACTATTATAAGACCTCATGAACTTGAATCTTACTTGCGTGATCCTCCTCCTCAAGATGTTGATAGAAAATTACGAAATCGTATTCTAGGTTCTCTGATCGGTTTAGCTTTGGGTGATGCTCTTGGTGCTCATGTTGAATTTAGACCTCATCAATATATGGTTGAACATCCAGTTACGGATCTTGAAGGAGGAGGTACATGGGGTCTTCAAAAAGGACAGGTAATGTATTTTATGAAAGTAGAAATCAAAAGATGATTTAACAAAAAAAAAATTGATATATTTATTATCTAGTTCACTGACGACACTTCTATGGCACTTTGTTTGGCTATTTCATTAATCATTAATTGTGATTTTAATCTATACGATCAATTAGTTCGTTACAAATGGTGGTACAAACATGGATATATGTCATCAACAGGACAATGTTTTGATATTGGATCATCAACTAGACAAGCTATAAATGAATTTGAACGTCGACAACAGCAGTTTGCTCAGAAAAATGAAATCCGTTTAAAAGATTTAGATTTAAATACTGGAGAACAAATTTTTCAAAATTTTGATGTATATTGTGGAAAAAATGATGCAGCTGGTAATGGAGCTCTTATGCGTCTTGCACCAGTACCACTTTTCTTTCATCGAGATGCAAAAACAGCTGTGAAATATTCAGGTCTTAGTGCTAAAACAACTCATGGCGATCAAAAAGTCTACGATGCATGTCGGTTTTATGGTGCTTTGATCGTAGCTGCTATTCGAGGTGAATCAAAAGAGAATTTATTACATCGTGATTTCTACGAAAAACATCAAGACTGGTTTGGTACTACACCACTTCATGATGATGTTAAAGAAATTATTGCGGGATCTTATAAGAAAGAAAATGGTTATGCCGATGGAATTAAAGGCAAAGGTTATGTTATTGATAGTTTAAAAGCTGCTTTGTGGGCTTTCTGGTCAGATGGCGATTCATTTGAGAATGGTGTTTTAGCTGCTGTTAATCTTGGTGATGATGCTGATACAACAGCGGCTATATACGGACAATTAGCTGGTGCTTATTATGGTTACAAAGGAATACGTTCTGACTGGACCAAACAAATCTATGCGGAGAAATTTATTCAATGTTTGAGTAAATGGATTGTTTATCAGGGTGAAATGTGGTTACAACAGAAACCATCAACTGTAATCCCTCCTAAACAGAAATTTTAGCTGTAAAGTGGAATGATACTAATAAAAAAAAAGATTCCATCATACATACAATTGTTTGTTATAAACTTTTTGAATATAGAAAAGAAAGTAATTCATACAAAAATTATTTTATAATCGAACATTGTTCAAAAACAAATCCAACAGTTCTATTGAGAATATTAGTCTTATCATAAATATAATTTACTGGCAAATAATAAAATTTTTCAAATTATATGAAACGTTTTTGTTTTTCATTTGGTAAATATTCTCTATTTGTAAACATGCAAGTAAAATGGTACTATCGATCATAATACGATTGTTCAATCAGATTTAATAATTAGATTTTACATGTCATCATGAAGTAGAGAATTAATTGAATTCATTAAGACGTAAATGAAAAGATTAAGAAAAAAAGAGTTTTTAAAATCAAAATCTGGGCTGTCGGTTTTCTTGTGTTGCTTATGTCGTTAAAATGCTATAAATAAGTAGATTGATGATGAAATATTATTCAATGATCATACATTTGTTCTGATCGTGCACATATAAAACCATAAAGGCATTGACTTGGTGGAATACTCACAACATTCTAAAGAAAGAAATGTAGCAAATACATTTCTATATAATTGTCAATAAAAAATTTATCTCTCGTTGCTATCGTAGGGTTCGAGTGGATCTACTTTACAGATTTTTATATACTACTATATAAATACTTGTTTTTTCGAATAATTCCTCTGCTGTAATCTCTAGTCTTTAATAGGTGTACAATATTCATACCAGAAATCATGAATAGATCTAAGAAGGAAAAAATATAGCTGTGGGTTTACATGAATACTAGAATACTAATGGTTTTATACGTGTAATTTTTCGTCTTGTTAAAGCTGTAAACTGTTGTTTTCCAATTATTTTTCCAAATAGATTCATTTATACGTTCATTATGAATAGTAATAATTCACATTTGCTTTATACAATGTGAAGTTTATGATATTATTTTTTTACCAAAACCATATTACATTATTTTTATCGGTTCGTTCAAATCGTGTAAATTTGTTAAAACGTTTATAAAAATGTCAGAGAGACTAACAAACAGTAACTTGCCAGACATGTAAAGAAGAGATCCCGCCTTCAGCAAAGAAAATCAAATACGAATAACTTCATTATTGTGACAGAGAAACGACCGTTTTAAAGTTTTTAAATCATCAAAAAAAAAAAAAGAAAGAGATAAAACTAAAATTTCTCCCCCTTCTTATCTGTCGACAATTGTATATATGACCATATCAGCATATTTCTACCGTTCTTCTCGACTGCAATAACTCGATCGATGATTTTTTTTTTCAGTTATTCTTCAATACTATTATGCAAACAGTTTTAAACAATTTAATTTAATTTGATATTTTATGGCTTTATATTGAACGTGTTCCATGTAACTTCCAAATATTGTTTGTAGATGCGTTTGAGTGAGCCAGCGAATCTGAACGCATTTCAAGATCAAACAAAAACTGATTTTATTATCAAATAATTAACAAGAAATTTTCGTACTTTAATATTTTTGATAGCCTTGTATGACAAACGGAACATTGGCCTGTGAATTGATTTGTTCTTTATGACGTCTAGCTCAATAAGGTTAATTGAATATTACTGAATCTTCTATTTATAAATATTTTTCACAACGTCATAATTCATCTTTTCATACAATCTGACAAATAGATTTAGAATTATTTATATCATAATGATCTCCATAAGATTTTCTTTGTAAGAGAAAGAAAAACAAGAATTGTTTGTCTAATTCCGCATCTCTTCTTTCATGTTACACAAGTTTCTCGGTTTTTTTCAATATGTAATTTTTTTGTACTAGGGATGTCATATTTTCGAATATTTGGTGAGTGAAAGTTTAAATCGAGGTTTTTGCGACTGCGCCCTAGGCTCTAACCAATGGGATGAGCGAAGGAAAGCCAAAGATCATTCAATATATTTTCCTAGCAACGGAAAAGAGCGCGTCAATAACAACAGTGCTTAGATCATTCTGGAACTTTCTCGACAAAGCATTCTATGAATATAAGATTCCTACTGTTGATTCTAACTAGTCGAAATATTGCGAGGTTTGGTATTTAATCTAGCGAAAGGATCTGATTATAAGTGTCAATCAGTAGGATGATGGTATTCTTTGATCTAGTAGAGTGAGATTAGAACGGACATAGGAAAGTATGAATTAATTGAATTCTAAGTTTAGGCAAAACTCAACAGTATATGTCAAAATTCATCGAGAGAAACGATGGTGTATTCGAAAGTGGATTGAACGATTAAATCAATGTGTATAGGAGGCTAATCTCGTAATTGAACGAATGAAACGAAGACTACAATGATATTTGCTGCTTTCTATTTCATGTATCATATATATTATTATTAGGAGAAAAAGAGTTATATATTGAAGATGTATCTGACAATACGAAATCTTTCAAATGAATCTAATAAATTGATAGAATAGGAGATACGATCTAAAAAGAATGTTGAAGTATATAGGGCAGAAATGTGCACTCCCTCCCACCACATACTGTGATAGATGACCTTCAGAGACCATCACAAACCGTGACAGACATCTTGGGAACCTGCCACTGATTGTGCAAGATGTTGTTGATATACGATCAAAGACCGAACATCAATAGCATATTATCATAAGATATGAACTACTTGTTGATTCCAGTTCTGAAGGAATAAGTAAAAGGATGGTTTAGAAAGGTGCCGTAAAATAGATAGATTAAAACAATCTTTCTGTGAATACTAAGAGTAACTACATCGTGTTTCATATTTTAATCCTGCAGGGATTCGGCTAATAGTTTTATATTTTATTTTTAAACATGTCTTGATTTTCCTCAATTACAAAACGGAGAGAAAGACAAAGAAAATTAAATAGAAATTAAGCTTATTAAAGAATATTTTGAATTAAATTAATTAGAAATTAGAAATGAAATCAAATGGTTTAATTTTGTGATAAATAAACCATTGATAAATGTTCTATATCTTCTTTAAGAAGAACATTCATACCCATAAATGAATGTGCACCAATATGACAATGAAACATCCATAAACCTGGATTATTAGCAATCATACGTAATTTTGCCCATCCACATGGTTTTCGATGATTTGTTACATTACGATTCGGAAAATAATAAGCATAAGAAGTTGCATAAACCATTAATGAATCACGTAATACTGGATCGTGTATATCAGGCCAGATATTTTCAGTTGAATCATACATCTCAGTTCCATATGAATGTATCCAAAATTTATGTCCATGCATATGCATTGGATGTGATTCACAAATACCATTAAGTGCAACAGTATTTTGAATAATAATATCAACTAATTGATTATGTTGTAGAGTATAAATAATATCATTTGGAAGATTTTGCTCATTACCATGATATAAATCCATAAGAAGAGATGTATTTAGATTATTTAAACGAACCATATCAAATGTTGCATTATTTGTTAACCAACGAATACCTTTACCATCAGCTGTATTTTCTTGACCAGTATGTAAAACTATTTCAATATCAGCACGACCTTGAGGCATTTTTTCTGATTCAAGTAATGTTCGATATCGTTCACTATAGGAAAATATAAATAATTCAGTTTCATTAGATAATATTGGAAGATTAAGTGATGATTTATCCGAAGGAATTGATGATTGTAAACCATATCGTAAGATACCAATACAACTAGAACAAAAAAAGAAATAGTAAATTGGTTATAGATCGAAAAATAAATGTATGAATAGTATGAACCTAGAATTGACTGCTGCTACTCGCCATCGAATTGATGCTTGCATAGCAAAAACACCAGTATTTTGATTTTTTGTTTCAATCATTACTGCATATCGTTGTCCAGAAGCAATTTCAATTGATGTCATATTAGGTTTTGGTACAATGAGTTTTCCATCGACTTCAACAACAGTCATTGTATGTTCAGCTATACCAAATACAATTGTAGATAAACTTGTTCCACCAATTAATCGTAATAAATAGAATCTGTTTGGTTCTACATTTAATACGAAATTTCGTTGACCATTCATAAATATATATGATGGTTCTCCTTCCCATTTAAATGGTGATTGAAGTAAGCCGGCTTCTTGTGCAAGACGATCAACTCCTTCCCAATAATCAGAAAACATAATTGGACCTGATGATACTTCTACTGCTTCCCATGGTCTTTCTGGATCATCAATAATTATTGTACCAAATGCTGTAACAGCTTGTAATCCTACATGTGAGTGATATATATGAGTGCCAGCTGGATATGCATGAAAAACATATGTAAATGTTTGACCATTTCGAATTGGCATTTGTGTTACAAATCCTACACCATCCATTTGTGGTGTTTGTCGTTGAAGAATACCATGAAAATGAATAGTAACATCTTCCATTGATTGAAGAGCATTATGAACATGAACAATGACTATATCATCAACATTGACTCGAATTGTTGGTCCTGGAAATTGATTATTAATTAATAAAACAGATGTTATATTCCGAGCATAAGTTATTGTAAAATTGTATTCATGACGATTAATAACACCATTTACTGCTTCAGTTAAAGAAAATAATGATATCAAAAGAAAAAAAATTGAATAAGATATTGTCATAATATTTTTGTGTCAATATATATAAAAATATGATGTTCTTTTCACATATGCACACATTAAATGATTTTATTTTCGACACGAAAACAATCCAAAACTAACCTGAGATAAATTATTGCATCAGGAGGATGAAAAACAAAAGTTTATCATTGTCACATGGTGTAATGAAGTCATGAATATGCCTATTCAACATATGCCTCTATAGATACTTATCTTTTGTTTTTTTATTTTTATTTCGCAAGATTTGACATTCTTCTATTTCATAGAATGAAAATAAAGTAAATTATTCTAATAATAGATTTTCAGTTTATATGATGAATTTGTTTGCAATAATTTCACTGTTAGTCAATATAAACACTGTTCGATGTTAAGTTTTATTGAAAATTAGTCTGTGATAATTGTGAAGTTTTCGAAAATCATACAACTTTATATCTATTTACCTTTTTTTTTTCTTTTTTCTGTATCCATTCGTATTGATATACGTTCATTCTTTGCTTTAAACATTGTTTTCGATGTTCATTCTATATCATTATATGTAACGGAAGTTCTACAATTTTGCCCATTTGACTATTTGCACCATTCGAAAGAAAAATGTGAGAGAAGTGATACTTTGTTAAATTATCCAGACTATGTATTGATCAAGCTGGCGAAATTTTGCTGTAAGTTTTGATCACAATTATTCGAAAAAAAGCTTTCTCAATTAACAATGAGCTTCAAAGTGGGAAATCGATGGCGGAGACATTTCTCTAACGGTCTGCGCAAACTCGACCCGTCTAGCTTATTCCATTCAGGAATTATCAGCGTTTTATCGAAAGTCTTGAAATTAGCCAACTGATCACTAGTCATTCTAAACTATATTGAGTTTGATGTAGTCGTTTACATTGAGTTCAATGTTGATATTTGTGTTTAGTTTTGAAACGATCTGACGTTAAAAACTTTGTATACCCTGAATTATACAATAATACGGATCGCAGTATCTGTCAGAATCCTAGTACAAGAGTCGTTCAAACAACGACATCCTCCGCATAGTTTGTCTATACGCTACGATGCATACAAAAGTTACGATCTAGCAACTTACGATCATATTGAAACTAGAACCAAATACCATCATTGGGTCCAGCATAGATAAACGCACCGAATGCAACAGAATTTAGAGTGATCAGTGATCAGTTGACAGATTTTAAGGCTTCCGGGTATAACTCCTGAATGGAATAAGCTAGAAGGATTGACAGAGAAATTTCTTCACTATCGATTTCCTAAATTGGAACTCATTGTTAGTTTAGACAGTTTTTTTCAAAAGCTTCTCGTTAAAGTCTTCAGAAAAAACTTGTCAGGTTGATCAATACATAGTCCAAATAATTCAGCAAAACTTAATTTTCTCCATATTTCCCTTTTGACTAGTGAAAACCGCAGGTTTCTAGATACTTTCGTTCTCGAGATATTCAAAAAATATTGAGGTGCATTCCTATTCACCACATTGATGAATGTAAGCTATGATATATATATTCTAACAATATTAGCATCAGCCATCATATATATCCTGTATCAATATTGTTTCGTGATAGCTTGCGAAAGTTCATCCTGCTTTCGTCAACACACCCTCTGGAATTTTGCCGATATACATTCGGACTTTCGCCCATTGGAGAATATCCTATTGGCGAAATTCCTACCACTTGTATAAATTTATGCTACATGACAACAACTATTAACGATGCTATCTGTGAATCGTTTGTTTTTTTTTGATTGATGTCGAAAGCTTACTTTCAACTTCAAACTAAAAATGGAAGGTCGCTAACTGATAGTGAAGGAGATTGACCATATTCGGGTCAAATGAAAGTTCTCACTGCAAAACTAACAAATTTAAAATATTATGTGCCCATAGCTTACCTAGAGCAAGTTACTTAAATTTCAAGGTATATGAAATTTAGGTATATAAAAATAGATGATCATAAAAAATATTGATACCTATGTTTTTCTTAGAATTAATTTTTTTTCATTCAATAAGTTTTTCGAATCTTTCTTGTGAATGTTAGATACATTCGATCTGCACTGATTCTAATGTTTCTAAAAGTTTAATAATATAGAACTAAAAAAAATGAGCTTTATCAGAAAATATAGTTTATCAGCAAAGTTAATTTTATTTATTGTTATAGTAGTATATTATGTAATATTATATTTCGATAGTTAATTATAAATGGATATGAAAATTTTCAACTAAATGATAATAACAAAGGTGCTTTTTGCACCAGGCACAGATTAGGAGCGTTCACTCCTCACAGTTGGTAACTGAGCAATAAAGATTATAAAACTTAAAGCATATATCCTTTGGTTTATGAATTTCACCAATCGTTTCATTAATTACTTTAGCTTGCACAAATCCAGACTTAATGAGATTTTTAAATTGTGGAGCCGATAATTGATTATGAATAATAGAATGTGTATTTATAAAAATTTTGCCGATCACCTATAGTGATTTCTGTTCTATTTATATGAGTACAAGTAACGCTCGTCTGAAGACTCGCTCAGCTCTTTCTGGTGGAAATGGTGTTTCTGAACTGTCACCAAACCATTTATTTACAAAATTTCAAAAATCGAAGAAAATAAACTACCGCTGTCGGCTTCCATTAAGTTCATCAAGACGTTTCACTTCAGTGGCTTGAACAGAAACAGGTCGGATCTATGTAACAATCATGCTGAGAGATTCTTAGACCTCGAAACGCTTTGATCAAACTTTATTGCAAACTGTCTTTAGAAAAAACCACTCTTTTTTTTACTAAAAAAAAGATTTTAAAAATTAGTGGTACCAATCAATTCCCTGACCTCGAACACCTTTGGTCAAACTTTATGCCAAAACATTTTTTTATTAAAAAAGCCCTTTTTCTACTACTACAAAAAAATTAGTTCAAAAAAATTTCTAAAAACTAAGGCTACAAATCGATTTCCCAACCTCGATACCCTTCGGTCAACCCTTAAAATTTTTTCTTTTGTAAAAAAGTGGTCCTTTGTGTAAAAAAGTGATTTAGAAAAGAAATTTCAAAAAACTGACTTCAGATTTGAATTCCTCGACCCCAATTACCCTTCGGTCAACCCTTATAAAAAAAATTTTTTTTGTAAAAAAGTGCCCCTTTGTGTAAAAAAATGATTCAGAAAAGAAATTTCAAAAAACTGACACCAGATCCGAGTTCCTTGACCTTGATTACCTTTGATCGAGTTTTATTCGAAAGAATCCTTGCTGTGTCGGGATCATTATTCGACCAATCAGTGAAGTGCGGACACACAAGCAAGCAAGCAATCAGACAATTTATGTTTGTAAGACTCTTCTCTACGAGAAAGAGAATATATTAAATAATGAAGATTTATTAAGAGCTATCAAATCGGATGCAAAATATACATTTAAAAGAAAATGTATTCAATAATTGTATTTATGTATCTGTTTTTTTTGTTGATTGTGAACAATAAACATTACATCTCTATGTAAAAGTTCCTCGCTACAACACTAAAACAACACTTAAGGATAGTTTTATATCAAAAATATACTTTCTGCTTTTTTTTTCTGCTTTTTGGTGATAAAACTTCTGTCAATTTCTGCTTTTTGACTAAATGATTTTCTGCTTTTGGGAGTTCAAAAGGTGGCAGCACTAGTTAAGCATCTCTTTGTAGTCAATATGCAACAAGACGAGGACCACATAAACGTGTTATATCCATTAGTCTATTTGGTCCGAAAGAGAATAAAATATTTCGATATAATGAAATGATTTACTTTCTTAATGAACTAATCAAGGATTTTAATATAAGATATTCCGATGGATTTATATTACGTATTCATCATGATAATACAATTAATGCAACGGATGTTATTTGTCCTTATGAATGTAAACATCCGAATGTTGATTTTTGCAATATGATGCACAAACTTTATATTCCACCGAAAGTCTGGCGATTTGTACCTGCTGGACATCCACTCGTAGATATCAGTAAGTGATCCATTTCTATCAATCTTTCTTAGAATTCCGGATGTAGAAAGAAAAGTTCAAGTATTTCATCTCGAAACACACAAAATATCAATGAATTCTCCGTACTTGTAGAATTAAACTCGTTTGTCTTTATATTTAGTAATGAGTCGCGATCTTGATTCGACATTAACAGCACTTGAACGTGTCGCTGTTGATGATTAGTTAGCATCAAATAAACTATTTCATACTATACGTGATCATCCTGGTCATAGTATATCCATACCGGGTGGTATGTGGGGTTTTCGACCATCATTGAATCGAAATTTATCTCGTATTTTACATTATAAAATTCATGATCAAACTCTAATCAAACGTTTTGATGGCATTTATGATCAAGTATTTCTTAGAAAACATGTTTGGCCATTCGACAGACAAAGCGCTGTGGCACATGATACTTTTCTTTGTAAAAGAGATTTTGGACATATATCAAGACCATTTCCAACACAACGACCATCCGCATATGAAACGAACTGTGTAGTAGGTTGCAGTCGACCATATTGTGGTCATGGAATTTTATCGTTTGAACAATGTCCAATAGAATGTCGACCGAAAGATCATCCAGAATGGCTCTATTGTTAATTCTTCATCCGATTTCTTTCTCTTCGATTTTTATTGTTATAATTTGTTACAATTTAAAAGTTAATATTTTGAATAGGATCGATCATAAATACAGTACAAAATAAAGGATTTGTATATCTTGTGGATATTGGATAATTTACTAAAAGTTCGATGCAGCGCCTGAGTCATATATTTTGTATTTTTCTTTCATTACTCACACAAGTTGGTATTTTCATAGTTCTGAATCATACTTTACTTCCTTGCTAACTTTTCTTCTATTCTCGAACCATCTATCATCGTCCGCATTCGCTTTCTACGTCTATTCTTTATATGAGTATAAAATAAAAGAACTGCTTTTTTCGTTTTCTTCTGCATTACAATGGTTCTTCCAGCTAACAGTAGAGTATTTGTCGAACAGAATAAAAGGCAACATTATTGATTCATCAACGCAGAGTGAACAAATTATTCGTTCTCTTTATTTATATACATGTATGTCTAATGAGTACAACCAATCACATAGGTAACACACACGGTTTGTTCAAGTTGTAGAACAACTAGCTACAAGTACGATGATAATTCGTTCTGTTGCTATTCTGATTAGTACTGGGAAAGAATAGAAGTCTATTTGAAGTTTGTGGGGGAAAATGAGGCGTATAAAGAATGAATATAGACGTGTTTTTCTTTGCATTTCAGTTCGTATTCTTCTTCATTTCTTTGCCATGATTTACATCCATTTTTATTTTTATTTTCTCGATAAACAAAAAAAGATATGTATCGAATATTTTGTCGTCTAGAGTCGTCAATGGAGAGACGTCATAAAGCGATTCCGATGTAACGCTGACTACTTTCCAACGAACGTGCCATGATTCATTGTCAATTAGTCATACACTCTTTTCTTTCTGTTTGACATGTGATCGTTTTTTTCCCATATGAGTGTTTTTTTGCAATATTAATTTATCACCATTTCTGGAATATTCTTCGAAAACTATATATAATTCATCTCACGTCCTTCATCCAATTCTTAAATAATATTCAAACTCGTTTCAGACATATTGTGGATGAGATAATTTGTCGATTACTGATTTTTTGTGATTATGAAACGTTGCAATCCTCACATCGACATTTCAGCAATTGATAATGCTGGCAGTAGAAATTCTTCCAAACGCTTATGTTTAGAGGGCAACACAACAACTAAGTAAGTTTCTGAATGTGAAAACCATTTTTGTTTCATATCCTTTGATTTGTTTGTTCGAATTAGTCATTCAACGTTTGTTACGGAAGAGGACCTAACAAACATCCAAAACAATATTCTGTTATTTGGTATGTATTTTGCCAATGACCGATCAGTTTGAGGAGAAGATTCGAACAATAGCAATGACTCTAGCAATGGTACAAGTATACTCAACCTTTCTTCGTATATTGTAGATGATGTACGAATTCCTATTGAATCATCGATATTCTTCACGCTTTCCGACTTATTTTCTGATGGATTATTCAATAAACAAACGGTGAGTTTTTTTTATGATTTACTTTCGTAGATGAATATTGATAATTTGATTGAAGAAAACATATCTAATTTATTTTTCTTTTACAACAGACAGATTTTGACGAACCGATCTGTATTCATCAAGGTGATTTGATGACAGCACAAGTAAGTTCAATTAATTCTCTATTGATCAATTTTATTCCTACATACCATCTATTAGACTGATGTTATTGTGGTATGTCGATCATCAAAAACTTTGCGTGAAGGTGTTTTCAAAGCTGGCGGAGATTTGCTGAAGACTTTATATGCTGCTGAATTTACTAAAAATCCGACTGCTTCTGTCATAAGTGTTGCAGCTAGCGGAGAAATTAAAGCGAAAAAGGTTTATTTTCTGACATGGAAACCTCCTACTGATATCGATACATTTCGTCAATCAATTAGAACATTCATCTTCGATGCGATGAGTAAAGCAACCAGTGAAAACTATCAAAGTATTGCATTTCCGGCTATTGGTTGCAGTGGATATGGATGTTCGATCAGTCTCATCGCTCAGACAATGGTCAAGGAAGTCCATCGTCAACAAATGACATATCCCATGTCTGTATCTTTCATCATACAATCAGACCGAATTGATGTTTACAATAAATTTCAAACACAAATCAACTTGATTCAACCGATTTCAAAGTCAACATCTGTTTCGACGACAGTTGGAAAAGGAATAATAGAAGTTCAAATGGGAGATATTACAGAACAAAAGGTAAGTACTCAAAATCTATCTTCACTAATAAAAAGCATATTTTATTTGCGAAAGGTTGATGTAATCATTGGAACTTCTTCCTCGACATACTTGAAAAGATCCGTCATGAACGTAGCAGGTCAAGACGTTAAAATGGCATATACAGAACAATGCAAAAAAGATCCATATGCACTTCTAGTTTCACTCCCATCGGGTCAACTTCCTTGCAAACAAATCTTTTTCGTCAAATGGCAACCAGATTCAGACGAAGACCTTCTTCGACAATCTCTCGTTGATTTTATATGGACTGTAATTCAATATATGGTTTCCTATAAGTTTACTTCTATAGCAATTCCAGCTATTGGATGCGGAAAGCATAAATGCCCTGTAGACATTGTCGCCAAGACGACGATAAAGGAAATCAAAAATCAACTGGAAATGAGAAATATCCCATTAACAGTAAGATTTATCATTCAACCTAAACGACAAAATCTCTATGAAGAATTTTCTCAACAAGTTTTATCTTTACAAGAAGGTATGAAATAAGTTTTCCAATAAGAGAAAATTCATATTTTTTTTATCACATTTTCATAGACCCGGAATCGCCAATCAACTATCAATTACCTTCAACCTGGATACGATCTACTGAGAATAAATTACGTTTTCTAGTGCCTTATAATTCTGATGAATACACTTCAATGGTTAATTGTTTTGATCAGACAATGAAAGGAATATATACTTCGATAATTCGAATTGAACGAATTCAAAATCAACGATGGTTTCTACAGTATCAAGTACATAGACAAGAATTCAATAAACGACTGGCTATAGATACGGAAAGACTTTTGTATCATGGATGTTCTCAATCCGCAGCGAATTTAATTATTGAAGATTGTTTCAATCGAAGTTTTGCTGGAGCACATGGTAGGTAATTTGAACTGTGATTTTTTTCTAGAGTTTCTCCTCATCTCTGATTGTAGGAACAACATACGGTATCGGTATGTATTTTTCGTCGGATGCATCCTACAGTGATAACTTTACTGAAGTCAATTCGAATGGAGAACGATGTATGTTTGTAGCTCGTGTATTGGTAGGGAACACAACTCAAGGAAATCGTTCAATAAAAACTCGACCGGTTGGATTCGATTCGACAACGGATGGAAAACATATTTTCGTCATTTATCATGATGCACAAGCTTATGCCGATTATTTAATTACGTATAAATAGAATTTACTTTTCAACTTGTTTAGGAATTTCATTAAAGCCAAGAAATGATACTAATAAAAGACAAATAGCGGGTGCTAATGTACCAATACCATGAAATAATTTTCTTGTATTAACACGTTTTAAATATTTTCTTTCTATGATATATTAACACGTTTTAAATATTTTCTTCCTATGATATATTAACATGTTTTAAATATTTTCTTTCTATGATATATTAACACGTTTTAAATATTTTTTTTGTAAAAAAAGTGATCCTTCGTGTAAAAAACTGATCCACAAAAAAATTTCAAAAAACTAACCTCAGAATCGTGTTCCTCGAGGTCGATTACCTTTGGTTGAGTTTTATTTAAAAGAACCCTTTTTGTGTCGAGATCATTATTCGACCAATCAGTGAAGTGCGGACACACAAGCAAGCAAGCAATCAGACAATTTATGTTTGCAAGACTCTTCTCTACGAGAAAGAAAATGATGTTCGATTTTCTTGTGAAAATATCGCCATGAACGAAACAAAGATAAATCTAGAGGCTGAATGTGTCCAGTTGATCCTTCAGGAAAAATTAATAATTGACTGTCTTGATTTGAGAATACTGTTCTAAATCTGTTTAGATCATTTTGAGTTCTGCAAGCATCAAGGAAAAGTGAAAATTTTCTACCCACCAATGGACGCAAAACATCATTTAAAAAAATGCGGTGCTTTTCGATGCTGCTTTAAACATAGGTATCAATATTTTTTATGATCATCTATTTTTATATACCTAAATTTCACATACCTTGAAATTTAAGTAACTTGCTCTAGGTAAGCTATGGGCACATAATATTTTAAATTTGTTAGTTTTGCAGTGAGAACTTTTATTTGACCCCGATATGGTCAATCTCCTTCACTATCAGTTGGCGACCTTCCATTGTTAGTTTGAAGTTGAGGTTAATTTACATTCGTCTATTTATTATACCGCACTTCAAAAGTGCAAGAGAAAATAAATTTGGTCTACTTCGTTCTTTCGTTTCATTAAATTTTGTCGTAAAATGTTGTTCTTTGTTACATAGTGGTAATGAGATTTATTGTAAATTTTTTTCTATTACGCTCACAATGTTCAGTTTTATATACGTCCACATTCTCACCAACATCTGCCAGACAGTGTTATGTAGGATAAGAAAAGAAAAGAAAAGAAAATTAAAAGTAAATATGATCGGCTGAAGTTGCCAAGCAAAACAGAAAGAAAGAGAAAGGAAGACATGTTAGTCAATAGTAACATATTCTTCGCAATGTGGTCCATTTCAAAAAAAAAAGTCACTCACTATTCTCTCTTTGTTTTAACAAGCAAGTCTCGAGTAATGCAGTTTTTTTATTAGACATTCCTATACTGCTCGCAAATCAGTTTAACATTTTATTTTCTATTAAAAAAAGCTTAGACAATGAAGAGATTTTTGATAGGGAATGTTTACGAGTGAATGAGATCTAGTCTCACGATGATCATTATACTTAACTTGGCGAGTTGCATGTACAATAAATTTAATATTTACGCTGTTGAGTGATAGTAACATTAGTAATTCGTTATCAACGTTAAAGTTTGAACTGCTTTTCTTATTGAATCTATATCTTATCTTCAATTTGTTTTAAAACCAATATTTATTATAGAAATGCAATTCCCACATCCTGATTCTCGGATATTACCTCACCAAATATTATGCCCTGCCACACCACTTAATTCAACGTCCAAGGAACTGAAAAGAGTCGTCGGCTCGCTTGTTGGTCTCGCCGTCGGTGATGCTCTTGGAGCTAGCGTTGAATTTCGTCCTCGTCAATATCTTGTTGATCATCCTGTAAAAGATATGCAGAGTGGTGGTACTTGGGGTCTTCAAGCTGGTCAATGGACAGATGATACTTCCATGGCTTTATGTCTAGCTTCATCACTTATTACTTGTCATCGTTTTAATTCTTACGATCAAATGGTACGTTATAAATGGTGGTATAAAAAAGGTTTTCTTTCATCAACGGGCGAATGTTTTGATATCGGTAACACTACTCGTACTTCACTTGATGAATTTTGTCGTCGACAAAATATTATCAAACAACGTTTTCGAGGTTTGAAGGATGATGACATCGATAATTTGCCGTTAGAGCAAGTTAGAAGTGTACAAAATTTTAATGAATATTGTGGTGTATCAGAAAATGCTGGTAATGGTGCGCTAATGCGTCTTGCTCCTGTACCTCTGTTTTACTTTCGACAACCTGAGAAAGCTGTTAGATACGCAGGTGAGAGTGCTTCTCTTACTCATGGTGATCAAAAAGCAGTTGACGCTTGCCGTTATTATGCAGCTCTTATCGTTGCTGCAATTCATGGAGAATCAAAACAAGATTTATTAAATGAACATTTTTACGAAAATCATAAGCCATGGTTTGGATCTATGAAACTTCATGATCAAGTTCTACATGTAGCTCGAGGATCGTATAAAAGACCAGGTGGCTATAAAGATGGTATTCGAGGGAAAAGTTATATTGTCAATACTTTAGAAGCTGCTCTCTGGGCGTTTTGGTCAGACGAAAATTCTTTTGAAACAGGTGTTCTTAAGGCTATTAATCTCGGCGATGATACTGATACAACCGCTGCTGTGTATGGTCAATTGGCTGGTGCATACTATACTGTGTCAGGTATTCCTCCACGCTGGGCTGAAAAATTGTATGCTAATACTTTGATTATTTGCGTTGCTGAATCCCTTTACGTCGAAGGAAGTCGAAGTGGAAATGATACGGTTCAACAATATCAACAACAAATGACAACACAACATCAGAGTCAATCGACAAAGTCAATATCACAGTCCAATCAATATCGTGATTCTTACAAACCAATTCAGCAGACTTCATCTGGAGCTTATAAGGGTCGCATTGGCTATGGTGTTCCATCTAAACAGCCGCAACCTCAATCGTATACTACTATCCATTCCAATGCTAATTATTCGTACGATCGAAAACAAAAAACAAAAAAAGATCCTTCTACTTTGCCACCTGCTGGTCTCTCTAGTGGTCATACGAAAAACTGGACATCTATATGAAAAATATTAATCATTTATTATTATCTTTATTTTAATGGGAACAATCACAGTTTTGCTAATGTTTGAACTTCCAATGACTGATAGATTCTTCTGTTGTGTTTTGAAAATACTTTTTTTTTTAATTTTTAGTAGAGAAATATTTAATAATTTTTCTGATGTGTCTGAAGAATTGTAGATTCAGTGTGATTGTACACAGTAATGAGATGATTCAACCGCACGACAAAGTGATAAGACGGTAGAAATGTTTTGATTTGTATAATTTGTTAGTTTATTTGAAATTGCAATGAAAAACAATTTTAGTCAATTGTTGATCCTTACAACGTATGTCATATTCTTATTATCATCAGTGAAGGAAGAAGATGACGTTGACATGGAATTAAAACTTTAATAATCCTATATCTTTATAACATAGATATTATCATCAAATCATACTGTTTTCATCCCAATCTACATTCTTTGTTGTGAATAAGACATTTTTATTCATAATTAAAGAAAGAATTTAAATTATACTTAGACACGTATGTTAACTGTGTTGAACACAAATTTTCTTTTGTGATGTATAGGTACCAACAGAAACTTCTTATGAATGAAAATAAATTATGAGAGAAGATAATTAAGATGTGAACATTATATCAAGCAAATTATAAAAGTTCTAATTGCATATATTAGTGAGAAGATTGAATCTTTCCATATGTCAGTTACATATGCCTTGTAAGTAAGAAAATAATACAAACAAATTATTTTTCTTTCATTTATATTGTTACACTATACTTGTGCTCTGCAGATGAAGAATTGAAAGCGAGTTTTACATCTCTATTCTGTTATTTTAACAAAGAATGAAAGTAATTTTAAGAGCTCTCCTTTAATTTAACTCACTATTAATAATGTCTTGTCGATGTGATTTGTAAGACACCCATCATAATCGTGTATTAATGGAAGCAACTAAAGTGCACACTTGTTACATTACTGCAATAGAATAAACATATTCAACAGAGTTGTGGCGCAATGAAAACAAAAACATCAAAAAGAAAGTTTATGTTAGGAATATTAAAAATTTATCTTCAAAAAAGTTGAGCTCTTGTCAATGAAAATTAGATTCCAACTGTTTTTTTCTTATACAAATTTACTGTATATTGTAATCATTTTATTTTTCGTTTCGTCGGTTCAACCATCATATTAGTCTGTTATACACATTGATTTTATCGTCAAATAAGCTTTCAAGTACACCATCCTTTCTCTCAATGAAGTTTGATATATACCGTTGAGTTTTGTCTAAACTTTGAATTGAATTAGTTTATGCTTTTCTATGTCCATTCTAATCTAACTTCGCCAGATCAAATAATTCCACCGCCCTGCTGATTGACATTTATAATAGGACCCTTTCTCTATATAACATACCAAAAATTCGTAATATTTTGACTACTTAGAATCCACAGTAGAAGTCTTAGATTTATAGAATGCTTTGACAGATTCTAGAAAGTTCCAGAATTATCTAAGCACTGTTATTATTGATGCGCCTTTTCCCGTTGTTAGGAAAATGTATCCAATGACCTTTGACTTTCCTCCTTTCACCACCGGTTGCTAGACCCTAGGGAAGAGCTGCAGAAATCTCCGTTTAAACTTCTACTCACTATATTTTCTTCGAAAACATATGTGAGTTTCACAATAATAGGATGAATCATATACAATGAAATTAATAGAGAATGGCTTTACTTGGCATGTCAATATTTACTAACTACTTTTCTTTTATTCATATAAGTTATACTTAATCACTGATTATAATATAGAGAGAAATAACACACACATAAAAGATTGATAAAGTTCCTTGAAAAACGTACATATCTATTGCCATAATGCTTGAAATTCATATTGACCTGAGCCAATATGTACTGTCATTAAGCCTGTTGTTGAATCTTTTTCAATCTCAAATCCTTCAATATTTTGTTTGTTAACATCCGATGACCATATAATCTTACGACCTTCAATCAATATTTTACATCGTCCACCAATAAATAATGGCTCAAATATAACACGTGCTCGTGCATTTGGTGGTATAGTAACATGAAGTAAAACTGAATTAGCCATAGTACCACGTTCATCACGAGTATAAGAAACATGAATAAGACCATATAATGTACTCAATTGACAATCTAATTTTAACATAAGATGCTTTTTAGTTTCAGAAGCCATTCGAGGGCGAATAGTAATCATATTTGATGAAACATCAATACCAGCTAAATGTGAATAAAACCATGCACCAACACTACCATACATAATATGATTACGAGAGTTCATACCAGGTCCAGTAAGTGGTGCATTCCAAAGTTCCCATATAGTAGTAGCATTTTCATAAGAATTTGTAAACATATAACCATAAGATGGATAAGTTGTTGATGATATTAATTCAAGTGCCAAATCATGATGTCCATTGTCAGAAAGAATTGGATAAATTTGAGCTGTAGATACGATACCTGTTGTTACATGTATACCTTTTTGATTGATATCATTTACGAGTTGATTGATAACTGCTGCTCGAACATTGGTCGGTACAACTCCAGGTAATGCTAAAGCAAGAACTTGTGCTGCTTGCATTCCATCTGCATAAAAATTTGATGAAGTTGAAAAAAATACTTGATGAAATTCTTCGGCAAGTTTTTGATATAATATTGTATAAGTATTAGTATCTTCCTGTTTGCCAAGCACTTGAGACATATTAATTAAAAGATAAATATCATGAAGAAAAGCAAATGATGTAATTAAATGTGTATTTGTCATAGGTTGTGGTGGTGGTGGAACCCAATCACCATATTTGACAGGAAAATTAGCAAGACCTGTTGATTTGTAAACACTATGAAAATATTCGACATAGGCAACTACATGATTATAATAAACTTCTAGTGTATGAACATCATTATAGTGTCGATAAACCTGCCAAGCTATGGTTGGTAACGCTGTACCCCAATTTGGATCAGGTGGATAACTGTTACCTGGTACAAAATCAGGTACTTCACCATCATCTCGTTGAACATCAATAATCAAATCGAGAAAATTACGATAGAATTTGATTAAATCAAAATTATACAATGCTTCATCAACAGATAATGCTGCATCACCCATCCATCCTCGACGTTCATTACGTTGTGGACTAGAAATGAATCAAGAGAAAAAATGTGATTTTAACAAATCTATTAATATAACAGACCAATCAGTAGGCAACGACATCATGTTACTTAATTGACCCCATTGAATGTTATGTTGAATTTGATTGACGATAGGATTACTCGTAGAAAAATGTCCTTTTAATGTTGTTTCACTATGTACAAATGGACATTCAACATCATCCATTGTCAATGCATTCGGTGGAGCGAATATAGACAGATAACGAAAACCATGAACAGTAAATCTAAATAGAAGTAAAAAAAAACCGATTAGTATAATTCCTTGGGATTAGAATGTGAAACACGATGTAATTGATCTTACTAATTACAGGCAGATTGCTTTATTCTGTGACATATGTCTTCACTATCTTTTTACTTAATCCTCTAGAAATGTAATAAGGAGGTTGTTCATATATTAGAATGAGACGTTGCTGATATACTGTTTTTGATCGAATATCAATAACGTGTGGCACAGTCTGTGGGAGGTGGGGAAGAAGTGAATCTAAATTTCCATCCTATATACTTCAACACTTGTTTTAGATCGTGTTTCACAAAATCAATTCTAGTGAATAATACAGCAACAAAAAAACATACGTCGGTTCGTAGATTTCATAAACAGGATCACCACGTAACACATAAGTGTCAGATGCTGTAGCCTCACGAAGATTTTCTGTATAGATATTACGAGCAGATTGCCTAAAAACATATACGTATTTATCATTAATATGTAAAATTCTCAAGATTTTACTTGGTCGATATAACTGGTTGAGTGAGTACTTCACCATGACGCATATAAACACCAAAACCAGATGGACCATGAAATCTTATACGACACCATCCTACCGTATTTTGACCCAAATCAAATGTTTTAACACCTATATAACATTTAAGATTGAAAGAGATCTATTTCTTCAATAAAAAGAGAACATACCTGAATCAGAGTCCCACATGGCAATAGGTTTAAGTGTTCCACCATCGGTTAATTTTGCACCTTTGATGTCGCCTATATCTTCAGAATTTAGATAACCTTGTTGTTGACTATCAGTTATAACTTCAAAATGTAATGCATCAGATCCAGCTCGAATTGGTGGCATATCCTGAAGAACAATCAAACCATTACGTGAAATATTAGCTGGTGATGGCATTGGTTCAGGCATAATCCAAGCTGATAAGGAATCATTAAATCCTACTCGAGACCAATTAGAACGATCATTTCGACTATCACATATTTCACCATTATAAACACTATCGTGTTTAATAGAACCTTCTCGACCAGTCCATGTTTGATCACTAAAAACTTGCATCGTTCCACCATTTTCAAAGGTAACAGTTAAGATGAAAATTAGACGAGGTGGACCTAAAATTTTTCAATGTAAAATCTCGTTGAAAAGAAAAAAATAATAAATTCTCATTTACCATATTTAGATTCACCATGTTGTTGTTCTTGACTATACCAACCATTACCCAATTTAACTCCTACGGCATTCATACCAGCCTAAACAAAAATACATAGATGAAATTTTGAAAATAAAAATAAAAATTCTAACTGTAATATTCGCTGATAAATCGAATGAAACAATAAGAGTACGTTTTTCATATGTTGTCCAGCCAGGATCCAATTTTCGACTTGGATCTACTTTATTACCATTAAGATAAAATTCATAATAACCAAGACCAGATATATAAGCAATCGCTGATTTAATAGGACTAGTATTTGGAATTAAAAATTCTTTTCTCAATTCATTCATATTAATCTTTGTCGAACCAATCCAAAGAAGATCAGCATTTTTTGTTACATATTCATGTAAATTAAATATAGGTGTTCGAAATTGAATCCAATCTGTCCATTCACTAGGTTCTTCTAAGTTTTTTATCCAAACTCGTACACGAAAACGATAATATTTTGATGGTAAAAGATCATATTGACCTGTATATGGTATGTGAATTGATTGTGACGATATAATACGTTCACTATCCCATTCGAATTTTTCATCTTGTTGAGTTATTTTTATTGATTGAAGTTGTATTTGATAAGCTATTTGTTGAACATTTCGTTGTAATAAATTGTCCAAAACAGAAATTTTCCAAGAAAATTGTGGTCGTGCTGTATTGATAACTAAATCATGACTGGTCTCTACTTTATGATGATCTATACGTACGTCGAAAGGTGATGGCCAACGAGCATCGACGATTGCCCAAAGAAAAAATAGAAACAAATTACGACAATAATAGAGACAACGCATAGTTGTAGTTTATCTTATGAAATGAAATATAAAAATGATAGCTTCCCAGCTCTTTGTTCTTTTTTTTATATATTCATATCTATTTTATCATCTTATTCTTTTTATTTGCTTGTACTTTATCAAAATTTATCTTGTTGAAGTTAAAGTAGGATAAAAATAACTATCAGTACTTAAGAAAAATATTTAACGAATAAGAAATGAATATTTAAACTGATGAAATATTTTTATTAAATCATAAATAATATTAAATGAAACAATCGAATTCAAATCAATGTCAAATATTGCGATTTTTTATTAATTTGAAATTTGAATTTTCAAGTATTTTGTTTTTACTTGAAAACATGTTTTGGAAAGTTAAACACAAACTTTTTCACTCTGTTGGATGTACTCTGTCTAATAATATATAATTTAACTGGAGGCAATGTTATGAATGTTTTTTTAAGCTTCCGACATCTTACAACTATCCATTGTTTGTAGAATATGTGACATTTTCATTAGTAAATTGAAATAATTATGCACTCCTGGTGAGTTAGTTTTTCTCGTACTGATATTAAAAAATAGATTTGATCATCTTACGTTTTCTATTCTCTCAAAATAACATCATTTACACATCAAATCCTCATTAATAACATCTTATATATATCTGACTTTAGAAAATTTTTCGATATAAAAGAACATATAGAACGATCAAATTCAGAATTTTCATATCCAACACATATGATAGCTCAAAATTTACATGGTATTCTTACTGCTACATCACACATTTGAACTATTTCAGATGTAGTAATCAACGGAAAGAATTTGTTATTACGAACAAGAAGAAAAAAACAACATCACAAGCTGGATCGATATCATTTATTAGATGGACATTAGCAAGAAGACATCTATTTCGATGAAATTCGGTTATGATTGCGTAGTTTATCTGAATAGTGTGTAGATCTTTCATTCGAAAAATTTCATAACAAATGTGATAGTACTCTACCATTAAGTTAGAGCAAAAATTGTTGATGAAATCAAAGTGAAAAAATACAATATTCAGTTCGCATTTGCATGATTTGAATTTAATATCTTGCCTACACTAAATTATGTCAATTCAAAATATTATACTACATTGTAAACAGATAATAGCTAGAGAAAAATCTCCAATGAACAATATTTTTATGGAAAATAGATCAATGTGATGCTTTCCTCGACTTTTGTGAAAGAGAATGTGTATCAATATGTAAGAAAAATATATTTGATTGAGCCAGTAAATTCGTGCAACCATAGTTTCTTACTTAAATACAATGAGAAGCATATTGACAACAAACGTTGAACTATTTGCAAAAATATGAAAGTAATTTCACCATTAAATTTGAAAAATTATTTGATATACAACCAGATATTTGACGTGGATTCACATTTGATTCGATTTCACTAGCAAAAAAGATGCGGGATCTTATCATATATGTTTTAAAATGCAGGCAATCTTCAATCTGAAGAATAGGTTACAATAAGTAAAGTAAAAACAACTCAACGGTTTATAAATTGTTCATTTCATAAAGACAATCATCAATTGGTATGAATTAAAAAATAACACGAAGATTTTTATATTATTTTTGAAACTGTTGAAGTCTTGTGCATGCACTTGAACATCTGTTAGTTAATTGCAGAGTTCAAGACATAAATGAAATTCATATTATATGTAAGCGTTTCTAAGAACTTGCATTATCGCTCTTTCTATAATCTTCTTTTTTTGATAGAATTATATTGGTAAAATTCAAACGCTCTGCGAAAGATAATTTCTAAAAACTCAGTTATGAATCGTACATTTTCTCCTGTAGATAAAACTTTCATGCAAAGAAATTGTTGTCTACGTAATCGATTTTGGTTCTATTTTGAAGACGTATGGGTTCTAAAAGAGACATTCAGAAAAAAGTCATTAACACCTAATTATTTCTTAAAATGTAAAATGAATATTCATCATTCACCTTTGAATAACTACGGAAAAAAACAGCATGAGATTCATAGCTTTTATATTAAAAAAAAGTGTCTTCCTCTTGTCAGCATGCATTTCTCTTTTTAGAAAAAATGTCGATAATAGTTCATGTTTTTTGATCTCAGTAATTGCAATGAAACGTTTCATTTGCGTACTACAAAGAAGAAATAACTATAATAGATATATATTTAGAACTATCTGAAAGTAGTAGCAGAGGTACTTGAGTTCCTTATAACAAGCTTAAAGAAACTTTGTATCTATATCAACTTATAGTAAAAACAATGTTCTATTTTTCTTTGCTATTATATCATTCCTCAAGTAATATCATAATAATAAAATTTCGATAATACTTATTTTTTTATCATGTGTGACGGTTGTACTAATGCCTATTTAAAAAAAAGGGCAGAGTGGATATTTTTTTTTAATAACTTCTGATAGAAAAGGGATAGAGAATTGTGATTTTCATCGTTCGAAGAAGGAGACAGATGCATCGAATCGTGAATTATACGATTTTTTTCGATATGATTTTTTTTGAAAGGTTTTCAATCAATCTCATTGAAAACTAACCTATCCCGTCAGGTGTTTACAGCAAATTTTCAATTGTTACGGATATTTTCAAATTGCCAATAGAAGATCTGCAAAACTGCATCATTTTCAGATGTTTAGAATTAATCAATCAGGAGTTATAGGTATTCTAATCGAAGCTCTAAATGATTTTTCTACACACTTCTGTGAAAAATGTTTTTTTTTAAGCGAAAAAAACATTTTTTTCCACACTTAGAAAATCGTTTAAACATACTTTAAATCACATATTAGGAAAACGTATAAAATATGATTCGATGCACTTTTATCTTCTATTTCGTACGATAAAAGCCGTAACTCTCTACATCTTTTCTATCGAAAGTTATTCAAAAAATATCCACTCCTCCTTTGTTTTTAAATAGGCATTAGTATAATCGTCACATGTGATAGAAAAATAGGTGTTATCAAAAATTTATTATTATGATATTAATTGAGAAATGATGTTAAATGTGATGTTGCATTCATTCGTTCAAATAGTTTTAGTTGTCTCATTAGAAAAAAAAATCATTATCATAATGATTTGCTTTGTTTGATCTGATAGTACAATATTTCAGAGAAAGTATTTGACTGAGCCTTTTGATTCACCATCATATATAGACTGAAAACTGTCGCTTAAGAAGAAGTATGATACACCCGCTTTTCTTGAGAAGGGACGATTTTGCTAGCAAACACATATTATCATTTAGAACTTTCTTGCATATCATGACCTACATCTTCTTGCTTTAGCATTGCATTGTTTTTTTTAATGTAATCTTATTTTTGTCTAAAGATGTCGTTCTACTATTTTTTTGAAAACGCTGCAAACCTAATGATATCCTGTCATTATCAAACTCTGCATGACTCCTATTTATAGTACACATGTCGACAATCTCATTATCAATCATTAGATTAATAATGTAGACAACAAACTTTCAAATATTTGCATTTTACTTTCTCATATATAAGAATCATCAAGTAATCTATAGAATAACATCAACATGGTCTCGGCTCTAGCCATGCAATTGTTGTCCATACAAAACTACATGGGATGGTTTATGACAATCTATATTATCTTTGGCGTTATTGGCAACCTACTCAACTGTCTGATCTTTCTTCGAAAACAACTTCGATCGAGTTCGTGCTCATGTTATCTATTGGCAGGTTCAATTGCGAATATTATCGTATTGATGTTTGTGGGATGGACAAGTATTTATGCGATCGGACATCCCGATCCCAGTAATAGTTCATTGGTTTATTGTAAAATACGCGGATATATTGGACATGTTAGTATCATGCTCTCACGTTCCTTTATCGTTCTTGCCAGTTTCGATCTTGCTTGTATCTCATCCAGTAAAGTATCTATGCGAAATATTGGTAAGATACGAATTGCTCTGATAATTACTTTGTTCTGCACTTTAATTTGGATTGTCATATCAATCCATGTACTCATTTGGAGTACGATTATAAACGGTAAATGCATGAAACCAACGCTATACAATATTATCTTTTCATTTTATGTATTTATTATTGTTGGAGTGGCACCACCTCTACTGATGATCATATTCAGTTTGATTACACTACGTAATATACGTCTTGCACACAGACGTATTCGTCCAGCATTAACATTTACTGGTATGCGTCAACGTGATTATCAATTGACACGAATGTTGGTATCTGAAGTAGTCGTATATATTTTATCTACATTACCTTTTCCATTTAATTCTTTGTATAATACAGTGACAATATCAATTGCCAAAAGTGTCGATCGACAAATAATAGAAGCATTTATTAATTTTATTACAGGAACTTTTCTTATATTTATCAATCCATCTTCAACATTCTACATATATTTAACTACATCTAAAACATTTCGAAGTGAAGTTAAAGCAGCTTTTAATAATATTGGGCATCAAATTTTTAGAGTTCCTCAACGACCTCGACTACCAACTATGTCTAAAAGAACAACTACCATGTAGTAATGAATATTATTTAGACTCATCACCATCTTTTTTTCCTAAAATCTAAATTGATGTTGTGCATATCACTTATAAATATCGAGTAGAGTGTCATTTGAATATAATCAAGAAATTACTAATCATAGATTTGTAGTTTTTAATCTTTAACTTTTTCATAAAAAGTGAATCATAGAATGAACAATATCAACACAATGTCGTTTACTATACAATAAATGAAACGTATACATTACATTTCATTCTTCATGCGCTTAAATCCTTTTTTGTGAATGTTTATAATAAAAAGATTTTCAATATTTTTAAATATCAGATATGAAATCAATAAGAGAAAATATTGTTTATTTACTACTAGTCAATAAAATTCCATTCTTATTCATAGTATCCATGTTGTTGATGGAAAATGGTCCCGTATTTTATCCATATCATAAATGGATTGTATTTGAACTGTTTACGGTACGTTACAACTAATCATATACATTGCTAACCTATCCGTAAATCAGTGTTTTAGATCATAAAAATGTCATTCGTTTGTGTATATTATCAGGAGTGTTTGTTTCTTGAAATATTTCCCATGAAAAATACAATTTTAAAAATTGAAACAAGACAATTTTCTCTCACGTATTTTTCTTACAGATAGCATCATATTTTTTTTCTAGACAATATTCTTCTCTATAGATCTTCGTTTGAACTGAATCATATATTATTTTTTAGAGAAAGTATTGTGCTAAGTGACGGTTCATGACCCAGTTCTAATTAAAGAATGTTGCGTTTAGATCGTCAATTTTCGAAAAATGTTTTGACTGAAACTGTTCACAAAAACAGTCTCAGTCAATACTCTTTCTGGATTCGAGATCAGAGCACTTGTTGGAAAAACTCATATCGTTTTTGTTAAAATTTTTGAGACACACATGTGAGAAGTGATGTGAGCGTCAAATTCAACAGTAAATAGTTATCTGAGGTGTGAGTGTGCGTGGTTGTGAAGAAGATTCTCAGACCTTCAGCCTTCCACCCACAGTCATAGTAACAATTGACTTATACTGTGAGATTTTCCTGACGTATTTACAATAGTGTTTCAAGTATCGTAGTTCTATTTTTGGAAAGAATCTAATAGAAATATATCAATAAATCATATATATATATAAGTCATTGAATGAAAAGTTGTTACTCGGAAGTATTTTTGTGAAACTCACATATATGTTCGAAGAAAATATAATGAATGGAAGTTTTAATCGAGGTTTTTACGGCTTCTCCTTCCCACTACAGATTTTAGCAATCGAGAACAATGGGCATTTGACACGTTTCTCAGAGTTCCTTAGCAGCGAAAAAAGACGCTGAGTGGCATTAATGATATGACTTAGGCTATCCTAGAAAATTCAAGAATTTCTCCAAACCTTCTTCAAAATAAATTTGAATGGTTGGAATACATTTGTAAATGTTTTCCATAGTGCAGTTTTTGATTTTTTCGCAGATAAAAATTTATATTTCAGATGTCAACAATGAAGGATAGGGATGCATTGATTTGCCACAAGTGTTATATGGTCAACATAAAAGACGTAAATTGACCAACTTATTACTTAGAGAAACAATCAATATCAGTGTTTGTGAGTTGGTTGAAATTTTAAGTATGAATATATTATGTTGCTAAGTTTCATTGAGTTAGACTCCTATCAAAAAAACAGTGAAGGACTTTTTAGTTTATGTATTCCTTGTGTTAGAATAATAAATGTCTTCTCTCGAAGTTTGATGCTCAAAAAGTAAATATGTTGATTTGCTTGTGCATAAAAATATTTTCGAACATCATTCCCTAATATCGATGAAAAAGCTGAAATTCGTCTACTTAAAAATAACAAACACATGTTATGTTCTCTTAATGAAAATGAAAATTACAATTAAATTTTTAAATAAAAGAAAATTATTTGGTATTTTTTCGTCTAATTAAAAACAAAATCTGCCTTTGTTTATTTTCACCTAGAATTCAATTTTACCTGTGACAAATATTTTCATCCTTCTTTTATTCTCACTTTATTAATCCACGCATTGATATGATACATATATGTAAGATATATAGTACTTCGATATTATTACATATACTGTCTAAGAACAGCATTTTAACGCTGATCGAATCATTTCTAGGATTATTATTTGTTGATCAACTGAAGTCCATGCAAATCTAAGACGTTTAAGACAGGAATAGTACATAACATTATGATTATTTTATAATTTAATTGTAAAGATATTGAATAGTTGTTAACGGTAAGAGGATTAAAAGTAAAAAGAATGCATATGAATTTTATTTATAGGCTCTGGTTGTCTTTCCATATGAAGATTTGCTTTTGAAGCGTTTTTTAATATTGCTCTTTTATCAGTTTACTTTAAAGTTGTTTTGATTTTGATGAATTAAGTTAATCTTAATATTGGTCTAATTCAGATGATTAACATCTAATCAGATGTCTTCTACTATCAACATGTTTTACTTTTTATCGATTGCAAATTTTGTCCATATTTATAGTCTTTTTCGACGAATGAAGGAGATGAAATTAGTTTAACAGAAGCCAATGTTGATGAATTAAATAAATTGAAACCTCAATAGATGCCGTTAAAAGACAATTCTGAAGTAAATCACGTCTAATGTCTACTTCGTCGACTTATATCTATACAAATTTTAAATGAATTCTTTAGAGATCCAGGCGTTAAACATAAAGATTATGAATTTTCTCAAGAAAATGTATTTGACGAAGAACTTCTTGTTTTTATTTCAAAATCAATATTGGCTATACTTGTCATTTATAATATTACTAAACAAGTAAATATTGAAAGGAAGTTTGAATACTTTCAATTTCTTAACATGGCAAATGTCATCATAAAGAAATAGAAGAAGTATTACGTAATTCATCTGATTATTTTCAATCAATTTATTCTTTAAAAATAAACAATTAAAAATGCATGTAGATCAATTACAGCTATTCCGACAATTGCTAAAAATTTTGAAAAAGTTGAAGTTGATTGTAATTTTTATAAAATCAAATTAAAATTGATAAAAAAAAAACCATTTTTCTTTTGTTATTAGCACATAAATCTTTAGTTCAATTTCTTGAAATAATGAAATTAATGACATCTAAACAATAAATCAAACATTTAAAAATTTCGAAAAACATGGATACATCGAATGATGCTATGACTAGAAAAATGAGAATCTCATATTAATTGAGTAATGTTCTTTTTTCTTATAATCCCTTGAGATATAGTTAACAGGTTATCTATTAGGAAGAGTAATGTTAAGTTATACTTTGTTTATTTCATTTGAGGTTGTTCAATAAACTTCTCATCAAACATTGAATCGTACATACACCTTACTCAATCAAAAGATCGCATATTTTTATAAAACAGTAAAAAATACACTAAACAAAAAGATGCATGACAGAAGCTTTTGCGAAACATGATCTAAAAGGAGTGTTGAAGTATAGAGGTACAAAGTTAGATCCATTTCCTCCTCCACAAATCGCGATAGAGGTTGTTGACATTCGATCAAAGATCGTATATCAATAACGCCTCATTATAATATATGAATTACTACTTTCTTATTGCATTTCTGAAGGATTAAGTAAAAGAATGGTGAAGAAATGTGTTCCAAAATAGAGAGAATAAAGCAATTACCCTGTGATTAGCAACAGCAGCTACATTGTGTTTCACATTTTAATCCTGCAAGGATTACGCTAATAGCTTTTTATCCTATGTAAATTGGTTCCTGTTAATTGTTTCTTTGTTTGTTAATCATTTACTGAATCTTATATTATTACTAGCAAGGAACTCATGATTTCGCTCCAATTTGTTCAATCCTAACCATTCTGCTCCTTATTCCAGAGGAAAGAGTGGAACTGGTCCTTTAATTTTAATTTAAAAGTTAAAGGTGTTATCGTCTCGATTGATTATTGTTCCAGCTGTTGATCAGTGCAAATTTTGTTTTATATATCCTGTCCACAGAATGTTCGAGGGTGTTCTAGAAACTTCCAAAAGTGTTTGATCTTTAACCTTTAACGTTTGATATTTGACCCTTGGCCTGCTCATATGATGCCTCAACGAAAGTTCTAGAAAATTCCACCACATTCTGGAAAGTTGTAGAAAATATCAGAAATGTTTTGATCTTTAACTAGGCAATATAAGACCTCATAGAAAATGCCACAAGATCCTAGAAAGTTCCAAAACTTTCTAGATTTCTAGTTACTTCCACATTGTTCGAGAAAGGTCAAGAAAATTCTAGAATACTTGATTTTAACCTTTGACCTAGTTACAGACGGACAAACAAGCGTGCTTTATTATAGAGGTACACAGATGGATTCGTATTTCGTTAGTTATCAAACTTTTGATTAGCTCTTCATTTTTTCTGTTCGCTTCTTATCATTTTATTGAATATGTTCATCTATCTTCTGCTTCTTTCTGCCTCAACGTATAACACATAAAATTGTACAAAGAAGAAGAAGAAGAAGAACTTTGAAATGCACTACAAAACACATGTCTTCTTGATTGCAAACGTTTTTCCTAAATTGTAAGAAAAAAAAATGCTCATAAAGTAAAATCAGGAAGAGAGACAGAAAAAATGGCCACATTACGGAAACATGTGAAAATAGATATAGTAAGATGATTAGTGTATGTTGCTTGATTTAAGTGTAAATATCAAGGTGCGGATGTGTGAGTCTTTTCTTTAGCCACGCCTATACTCTGAACATAAAAAATGTATTTTATTCAACAACAAAGTGAATGAACACATAAACATACAATATAGACAAAGAACTAGTAAATTAAAAACAGTAACGAACCTCCAAGACGGAGGATATTAAAGACTATTTGGGTCATGCAAGATGTCTCAAGTTTATTGACATTGCTAGAAAATCATATCCTGTTTTGCGTTAGTATTTGTATTGCTAACTGCGAAACCAAGACTAAAAATTTTTTTCGGACACGGACAGAAACCAGGTTGTTTTTTGACTCAGTTTAGGACCAAAAAT